GGCTCGTCACTTCCATAATTACTGCCACCTTTTTTGGATAGCTTAGTACTGATCCTGATGCCTTATCGCTCTGCCTTGTTCAGTACCGTCCATAAATACTTTCTTGTGGAAGTGAGAAGACATTGAACGATAATTTTATGGCAGAACCATTGATTGAGATCAGCGTCCGTGCGTTAAGATAGTGAATGGAGTAAATTTAGAAGAGAATGGCGATATTTTTGCACCACGAGGGAATATCACATCGGCCGGATGGGATGATCTGATTGTACCGCAGGAATCGGCTCCGAATGGCATCAATATGCCCTTGGTATGTGTTCTGAAACAACAGTTGATCTTTTTTTTTTGTTATTTTTTTGAACAGTATTGCTACTTCTAAAACGGCAGTCGAACGGCTAATGCAGTTTAAATATACTGGTACTGAAAAACCAAATCTTTCATTCGTTTCAACAGTAAATTGCTTCTGCTGCATGTCAGAAAGGCAAAATTGTCGTTAGCTTGCTAAATAACCTTCAGAAGACAAGCCCACTAAAAGTTTGTCGAGCTAATTGTTACTGTTGGCACGTGCTACCGCCTAGAACATTACACAGTGTTTGCACTTTTCATGAAAAATGAATACAGACGAAGTTTTGACTTCAGCCTTTGGACCGAATTAATGAAACCCAACACATTAAATCTATAAAAAATTGCTGGAACGTGAAGACCAGAGTAATGGAACTTGGTAAAAGAAATTAAAAAAACAATAAGGCTTGATAACGCAGCTACTGAGCCAGCTTGTGATGAAGTTTTCGAAAGTTACCGAAATCATTGAAGGTCGAAAATTTGATTAATTCGTCAAATTAAAACTCACGATTTCAAATTCAAAAAGGAAGTCATTCAGCCTTGAAAAAAAATAACTGGATTAGCAGCTAAATTAATGGAAGTTTAGGATTGGTATTGAAAAATAAAGTGATGAAATTCGATTAATAAATTATTTGACAAAAGCAGTGTATTTTGGAGCTCGAATTAGCAGCTGAAGTTTAACAATTAATGTGACAAATCAGTGGAACCAATTTCAAATTAAAAAACGACGGGATTTAAAATGTTGAATTAACAAATTGCTCTATTTTGAGGCCTAAATTTCCGATTTAAATTGCGGCGGTTATGTTGTTAAAATCTTCTCTATGTCTCTGTTTGTTCAGGGTAAGTTGCCTTAGTAGCTCTTTCACGTCTTATTGGTACGGTTAAGTCAGAAGCGATTGGTAGTCATATAAGGAGGTATTCGCCTTTCCAGTGAGCAAGTTAAAAATCTCACTGTATGGGACAGATTTCCTTAACTGTAAACAAAA